ATCATGTTTCTATTGAGCTATCGACAATGCAAAAAAGATAAAAAATCAGGTAAATCCAAAGTGTCTCAGAAGACATTTATCGCTTCCACTCTAAAAAATTTTAAATTTTAGAAATTTTACAAATTTTATCATAATTTAAAAGGCGGAAGAAAAAATTTATATATATCGATGCATGAATAATCACCCACTTTTAAATAATAGCTTTAACTTTTTTTACAATTAAAGTTCCAAACATTTCTTGGATATAAATCAACATAATAAAACTTAAAATATGGAAAAATATGTGTTTTTGCGTGATCCTTAACATAATTATATTATTAATTGGCTACCGGCAGTATAAAAAGGAAAAAAAGGCAGGGAAATCTAAGATTCTTCAGAAAAATCAAACATAAAAATATAAATATATTCACCCTGCTTCTAATTCATACGATATAATATTCCAAGTCTATATTTTCAAAAAGGTGTTTGCTATACATCCTACAAAAGTAAATGATATATATATATATGGCTTTAATACTTTATAATCGGAATATATAGACTCATTTAAATGTTTTCGCTTGTTTGTAAATTTATTGCAAAAAATCTTAGATTCTGCAGGATAGAGCTTCTATTACCAGTTCGTTTAAAAGCCATAATTTCCCAAGGCACCTTTATAATAAGGGGTGGGGCTTTAATTATTATATCTAGCAATTGTTGTTAGATAAAATATTTATAATTTATACGTTAATTTATATGTTGTTAAGCACTACTTTCAAAAGTGCCGCCGCTAATTTTCAAAAAAAAAATAGCGTTCTAGTAGCAACTAGTTTCACAAAATACCTTTCACTACTTTTACGCTTAAAAAAAATTGTAATTCAAAGATTTAAAAAAGTATATAAATTGTTTCTTATGATTGTAACCACTATATTTGTTGAAGCGAGCATAGTCGTATCCAAGATTTTCCTATAGAGGTTGGGGCTATTAGGCTGGGGTTTCTATATAAATTTTATTGTAGGTTGGCCTTTGACTATATTATATTTTTATAAAAATAATTATGGGTTTTGTTTGACTTATTTTTTTCTCAAAATTTTGAATATTTTAAAAAGTTACAAACTTTTACTAATTATTCTTTCAAATTCTTCTTTTTAGTGCTATACTGTATATAAATTTAGGAGAGAGGAAGCACAGGCGTGTAACTAAGGGGTGGGGACATAAATATTATTTTTTAATAAAAATTTACCCCCTACACACACAAGTATATTTAATTTATCTGTTTTATTTTTTTATTTAGTATTATTATAATAATACTAGTTAATAACCCCCTCAAGAATGACGGGGTTGAGGGGTAATTAATTTGTGTATATGGTACTAAATATACTTTTTTTATAAAAATATTAAAATTTAGGCGAAAAGGAGGTAAATTTGTGAATCACACCACATAAGATATTCTTAATTTCTGATTCATCTATCATCGAATAAGGGAGAAAATGTGATGACCCATATTTCTTGAATGGCAAAATAAAAAATATATAACTAAGAGTACCAGAGCTCACGTTAGTCAGCATTGCTGAGCCCGTCAAAAATGACGGGGAATGAGAATTTTTCTCTCTTATGATAGTTGTTACCTATTATTTTAAAATAATATCCAATTTTATTCTTTATATCCCCCTCCCACCTTCAGGCCAAACTAAGTTTAAATGCTATGTTTTGAGTCAAAATTATTTAAAGCTTTTACTTGATACCCATATCAATATTATTTGCTAAAATAATACTGATCATCTATGCTTATATTAAAAAATTCCCAAGCCAGGTCCAAGGCCATAATAATTTTGAAAAAATTTCCCAACCCCAACCAAAGATCATAATAATTTTGGTAGTTGAGAACTGGAATAAAATATAATCATTATGAATTTAAAAATACAATCAAAATCAGATTTTATGGGGTTTATTTGTTTTAGGTCAATGTTTGATCCATAGTTAATAATAAAAAAATTCCCTAGCGTCCAAGCTGATAATAATTTGAAAAATTTTCCCCAAGCGTGGCCCAATATAATTTATAAAAATATTTTCCAAGCCCAGCCAAACCCAATATAATTTTAAATAATTTTTCAAAAACCTGGCCAACCGATAATAATTTTAAAATTGTTTTCCCAAGCCTGGAGCTTCCAATAAAAAAAATAAATATTGATATATTTAAATTACTTTATCATAATATAGTTAGAATTGTATTACAAAATTAAATATAGAAGGGAGGCTGACTGGAAAGAACGTTTGCCTATCGAACGTTAAGTCAGTGGTTCGAATCTCGTTGATGTATAAAAAAAATAAAAAATAATAATAATTTAACTTTAGAGGTATATAGTCTCCTTCGATTTATTTAACATTAAGATGTTAGGAAAGGATAGAAAAAATAAAAATTAACATTAAGATTATACAAAAACGTTCATTTCTTGATTACGGCGATTATATATATTAGATAAGTTAAAGCTACTTTTTTAAAAAAAGAAATGCTATCATATTAAAATATGTAGCGAGCTACTTTAATAACATTGAATTTATGTTTTAATTTTTTTAAAATGATTATATTTGAAATTAAGCAACAAAGATTTAAAATTTGGGTAGAGACTAACCACAATTTAGAATGGAATTGGTGGGGGGGGGAATGAGCCAAGTCCATCACATTATTATTTTTTTGGCATGCTTTCAAATTTTTTCCATAAGCACACCTAAATTTTCTGTTCCATTTTTTCTCTGTTAATAAAGCCATGCATTTACGCAATATAAATCAAAAAATGACTGAGTCAATGGCTTCGATTAGTGATGAGGACATTATTGTGAGGAAACTATGAGATTATGATAATTTATTTTATTTGAAATGTATTAAAATATTAATTGTAATAAAATAAAGTATTAATATTTAGGTTGATACCTTTATTTTTTTAAATACATACAATTTTGATTAGTCGAAACAAATTTAATCCCCCCCCCCCCCATCACCCCCACCAACAAATAAACATTTTAAGCAAATTTACGTTAAAAAGGTTAGCAACGCCACTGATTTTGAATAAGACCTAAATAAATACTGCATAATTTCAATATTAAAAAGATAAGTAGGTAATAGTAACCCTTTATTTCATAGTAGATATATTTGATTAAAGTTGAGAAAGCATTTTTAAGATGACATTTTCATTGTAGAGATCTGCAAGGCCCTGGCCATTTCGGCTCATAATTTTTTTTGCAGTTGCCTAGCATGTCCCATCATTTAAATGTTTGTTGGCTTATCCGAGTCCAATAATCTAATTTCCTGACCTGTTAAAATTTTACTAAAACCATGTGGGCCAGTTAAAGTTTTACTGAAAGCTCAGTCTAACCCGTTAAATGTTTTTATACTGATATTCCGACCCTCACATTTTTTTTATATCTATATTTAATTTTTCCCAATGTCCATTATGATTTTTATTCTAGTCTATTGTTATTTATTTCTTTAACAGCCGTTTTATAAATCAATTGTGTTTTGATACATATATTAATATTTACTTGGATAATATAATAAATACTTGTTTAATTTTTTGTAAATTTATTGTTTAATTTATGGATTTAATATTTTAGTTAGATAGCTCATAAAATAATACCCATATTGTAATATATTTTGAATAGTATTAATAAAAATATTATAGTTGAAATTTAAAAAAAAATATATATTAAAATTTTAATGCCTGGACTGGCCCATTGAGAGTTTATGAAGAATCAGAGATCTGTGGCCCAACTCGATTTTTTATATATGAATTGTCTGACTCAGTTCCTGTTAATTATTTATGTAGGAATTGCTTTGCCAATTAGATTTTTACCGACTCGACCGCAGGCCTAGCTTTACAGATCTCTAATTTATTGATATATTTTAATTGGATATTATTATAAAATAAATGTAAAAAATAAATTGTCCATAATAGTAACCCTTTTTTGAAATAAAAAAATATTTTGTAAAAACATTTTATTGAGAAATTATTTTTTCCCTCAGTTCGGTCGAGTTTGTAATCCATAATTTTTTTTCCTGGATAGATATTTTTATTAATACACTTGTAATATTATAATAAATATCTTAATAACAATAATAAAATGAATAAAGTAAATATTTGTTTTTTATTACATTTATTTTTTATTTTCTTCTTTTATTTACTCTCTCCCACTACTCTTTCTTACTTGGAAAAGAAGGTCAAACATTGCAACAAAATATAATATATATTATATATTACTTTTTATACACCTTTACTTATTGTCTTATATAAAGACTAGGTTAAGATTAGATCCAGATAACCCAGGCTAAAAGATTCTGATTCTGAATATACTTGTAAATGGCAGTGTTCTAGTTCTTGTTTCAATTCCTTGAGATTTAAATAAAATATTCTGGTACGAGTTCTTTATTTGACCATGTTCCGAAGGTTCCCGCTTCAAACTCTGAAATTCGAAAAATATTTAAACACTAAATAAACCCTCACGCATGAATCCCTCAAAATTTTGAAAATATATATTTCGGTTCCTAAAAATTTTGGAAAAGGATTCTGGATGGTTTCTATAAATATTATGGGTATAATTTATGATTCTGGTTCTAAATTATAGTTTGGTCATAGTTATGGGTTAAGATATTTTATTTATTTAGTAAGTGATTTGCATATCCCACTTGACCGTTCCCGAAAGATTTATTTTATTTGCTCTGAAACGCCCTGCCAAAATTATTTGTCCACTCGACCTGGCCCGAATTTATTTAAATATGGAAATTAATTTTTTTTTCAATACAGTTTACAATTTTACACTGAACCTAATTGAGTTTATTGGCGGCCTTGTTTCTTGCAAAAATTTAAAGATATATCAAATTTAAACCCGACCCGGCCCAACTTTTTTCAAAAAAATTAGGCCCGAATCAGCGCGAACCAATTTTTTTTTAAAATAGGCCTCTTCAGAAATTATTTTAACCTTTTTATATATACTTCTATATTATTTCATAATTTATTTTATAAATACAGAAGAGGACACATGGTAGAAAGTTTGAAAAATTGCCTCTTCGATAAAAACCATGGGTTGAGCTTTGATATTGAAAACTATGAACATGTATCGGTCAGGAAACGTAGGTTAAATTTCCTAAAATTTACATGCCAACTAAAAATTGAATATAAAATTTTTAGAAAGCATAAATAATTTCCAAATAAAAAATTGGTATATAATTAATTTACTCTTATTAATCTTAAAAATATTAGAGAGCTGCTATCTATATTGAAGTCTTACAAAAACAATAAATTTTATTTTACATAAAAGTTGTAAACGTTATCCTTGTAACATAAATCGGAAATAAAAATAAATTTCAAAAATGAATTTAATCTTTAGAGATTTTTTTTATTAAATTTTTTTATTTGCATAACTATTAAAAATCTGAAAATTATTAAGTAGATAAACAATATATTTAACCTTTCAATACTCTGGATAAAAACACTTAAATCTTTTAACTTTAGAGCATGGTCAAAATGAAGAGATAGCACAAATTATACGAATGTTACAAGATACTAATATGTAAATTTGGATTGATGTTATAGCCATATTCTCAGTTCTTTTGTGTCAAATATAATGAACTTGAGGTGATGAATCTTTTTTCGTTACTTAGCAAACTTGCTATTTAAAATGTATCTTAAAAAAGAATGAAAATATGGACGAAGAAAAGTATACTAAAACTAATTTTAAAAAAACTTAAAGGTTTCAAAATATTGGAGAAACGAGATGATAGACCGTAAAGATGGTTTTCTGGATGTTTAATAAACAGGAGAACAACCACTATTAGCGCCATACTTTCATATATAGCAGCAATTAATTTAATAAAACGACTTTCGAATCAGAAGCTTTATTAAATAAAATAACTAAATTTAAAACATTATTAATGACTCAAATTTTCTAAAAAAATTGGAATCTATTAGGATACTTATAAACAAAAAATTAGACATCCTAAGAGCCTGGAATGAAAATATGTTCTGGGATCAGAGTTTCACAGACTTTCTTTCAGTGCACAATGAAAGCTACAAATATAGTTTATTATCAAAATTTGGATAATTTGATGATGCCTGAAGATATTTGTATTGAAAAGGAAATACTGCCTGGTAGAGGTAGTGTAAAAAAAGTAAGGTCTAGATTAAAGCTCAAATTATGTTCCTAAAATCTACTGCTTGATAATATTGATCAGCTAGTAACAGGTTTTATCTAAAGATTTTTAAAAAAATCAACATCTTATAACAGATGCCCAATTCCATCTTAGACGTTTAATGAAATTAACAAAGAAGTTTTAAGTGAAAAGTCTTTGAAAAGAATATCTTAAAAGAATTAATTACCAATTTAATTTTCGGTATGACAATTTAAATGTTAAAATGAGGAAAAATATGCAAGACATTTTCATAGTAATAACATACCAGAAGAAGAGAGTGATCATAAAGAAATTCAAGGTTATATAAAAGAAAGTTGTAATGAAGAATCGCTAACCAAAAGCATGACAAAGTGCAAGTAATGCTTGATTTATTTATACGAGATGCTATGTCTATATAATATGAATACACTTGCATATATTAGCATATATAAAGTATAAGAATATCTGCTTATATTATCTCTTACTGAGTTGTGAACGACAAAAATAATTAAAAATATAGTGGGGGTCAATATTAGCTAGGATTATCTAAATCCTTTTTAATGATGGCAGTTATTTATATAAATTTATTATGAATAAGAAAATTATTAAGCTGACAAATGAGAGGGTATATTAAATTAATATATTTTTTTTATATTATATTTATATTAATATTTATGTATGATATGTAAAAAAAAATATAAAACTAGACAAAATAAAAAACCGAAATATAAAAATGTATAAGTTATAAAAAGAGATTGAAAGTTTTAATCGGAAATAAACTAAGTAAATCTATTGTGGGGTTCCTCAAATATTTGCTCACGGTCTCTTTTCTCTCCTAGTCCGCCCCTGATTTTGTCTATAATAAGTATACCTAATTCATCTCTCAGAAATAAATGATAGCAATTAAAATCTTCTATTAATTTAAGGAAGATTTACTTAAACAATGTGTTCATAAATGAACTGTCCTTATTTAGTCACTTTGTGGAGTTTTTAGTTTAATAATTTTTATTTTAGCCAAATTTTAAATCTGTTATAAAAATCGATACCGATAATATGACTTAATATAAAATATATATATTTATCGTTTTATTTGTACTAAACTAAATAAATATCGTGGAAATTATATATAGAATGCACGTTGAAAAGATTATAGAAAGCCTAAACCTGAAAAAGCACCCAAAAGAAAATGGGTATTCAAAAGAAATATTCAGATCCAAATTATACGTAGATTATCCTCCATCGAACGAAAAAAGGTTTAATTTATCATATCATTTTATTGTTTTCATTAATAATGTATGATATTAATATACAGTTCTTTAAGGCATTAAAATGTAGCTATTAGAAAACATTATTTTGATAATCAAATAGTATGGTTTGTAAACATAAACTGCAGGGGCCCCATGATCTATGAAGCTACACTATAGCCGGGGTCACTTTTCTAAATATCATTGTAAAATATAAATTTTATGCTTTTTATAAATAAATTTGCTCAGAAGAATAAGGAAAGTGCTTAAAAAATATATAAAATGGCTGATCAATTATAATTTAGATAAAATAAAAAATTAATGAATTGCATATATTTATTGAAATGAAATGTTTATTAATTTTAAAAGCGCTTTCAGAATTATAAATTTTTTTCTCTATATAATAGATATAATTTAAGATGATGTGAAAAACTATAATTATATATTGCCAAACAAAGAAATTACTACTGAGATGAGGCAGACTATATATAAGGAGAAGAAGCGAATATCACTAATTAAAATCGTATTCTTAAATAATAAGAAAAATATTTATTTTCAAAACAACTTTATTTTTGAAAGGCATATAAAGGATGAGGATCTCATTTAAACATTATATTTAATCTATTTGGCAGAAAACAGAATAGCGACTAGAAATTTTTGCTCGGAAGAACAGTTAGGGGATGCACTTTTTTTTAAAAATTGCATATTTCATCAAATGTGCTATAACTAGACTAGAATTGTGAATAAATAGCTTAGTATATGAATTAGATGTTATCTATGTAATATATATCCTAGTAAAATTGTAATAAATGACTGAATTGGATATTATAATTTATTTTTATTTATACTTTTTAAAAAAATTACAATTCACTTTTAAACGCAAATTAGGGAGGGTACAAATAAATTTAATGGGGCGAGCTGTCCATAAAATCCCTCCTCCTTAGTTACCGCCTGGGCAACATATTATTAAACACTAAGTAAACCTTTTATTCATTTTTTAAAAAATGATCATATTCAACCTTTTATATTTATTTAAATAATTGTCTTAATTATAAAATTCCAAAATATATCTAAATTAAAATATATATATATATGTTGTATTACGATATGGAATCCATGGGAATTCGGAATCGATTTTAAATCATTTACTAAGGGCGATTTTAAAATTTTAAAAATCTGATTTGACAGGAATTGTATTTCAGCATGTATAGAGTACTCAAACTCTAAATTTAAAACAATTTTCCCATGAACTTTAGAACTACTCTTAAATTATATTTATTTTTATATAAATTTTTAATATAAATTACAAAATACTAAAATGTCTATAGCGGAAATTGGCTGAAATTTATAGGGTAAATAATCTACAAATGCTTGAAAACATTTCCGGTTAAATCGGATTTAAATTTTTTTAAATCGCCCTCGGTAAAGAATTTAAAATCGAGAGATTCCGAATCCCCAGGGATTCCATATCCCAATATGGCATATAATAAGAACAATGAAAACTAATTTTTTTTAGATTTATGAAAAAAAATAAGAAGATTAATGTTTTCTTCTTGGGTGATCAGAAATTAACGTGTTAACAGCTAAAACATTTTCCACAAATTTGAACAATATGCATTTAAATTAGTTGATTCCTTGGAAATTCTAAAGGAATTCAGGTATACCAGGTGACACTTTTTATAAACTCAGTTCTAAGGGTTCTGATTCCCGTTCTTTAGGTTAACGCTGTACTTGACTATTATAAAAATAATATGTACCTAATTCGAGCACCTCAAGCATATTATATGCAATTATAGCTCAGATTTTGACTCCAATTAGTCTATATTAAATTTGATTAAATTTAAATTGTGAATCCCAAAATTTAAAAACTTTTTAGAATTTATTCCTTCATGGAATTTATTTCTTCCAAGACATGATCTAATTTCATAGAATTTTACAAATATTTTTTATTTTACAATAATAACACTTTTTTAAAAAAATATAATTAATAAATTATGAAAAAAAAATTAGAAATTTTTGCGCCGGATTATATTACCTCTTGTCAGGGCGGGATTATTCGCCTTGGCATCGACTAAAAAATTCTGAATCTCTATGGATGTATCATTCCGGATCCACTTTAAATGTAAATTATTTATTTATTTTTCTCATTCAAATTTATTTCAGTTTCATTTACTAGATTTTTCCTTAAAGTATGATGGCTGCTAGGCTTTAAAAAAATTATTTATAAAATTTTGAATCCTAGGTATAAATAGCATTCTGTATTAGAGGTTTACAATAGGCGGGAATTTAGTATACCTTTAAACCATGGGTTGTGGGTAAGCACGGGTAGGCGGGCGGGTAAATTCTATATATTTTTAGCGTGAAATGAGCAGAAAAGGTACACTTATATTTATTAAATATTATTTTCTATTTCATAATTTTACATATTTTATAAACTTAATCAAAATAAAATGAATAAAGAGCCAAACAAACATATAAATTATTTTCGAACATTTAGTGGGCCAAAATTATTTGACGAAACCATAAGCGGATGGGCAAACCGGTTAAAAAACTTTGAAACGATGTGCATTTGGGTTAAAACTCTACCCATTGTAGCCTTCTATTATGAAAGATATTCCATAAGAAAATGAATGATGTATAAATTTTATATATGCACAGATTTACATGCTTTCAATCGAGGGTGAATTTGTATTGAAAAAATTGGGTAATAAGATGGCTACCAGAGACCCCCTAGCAAATTACCAGGTTTATATTCCAGCAAATATTTGGTTCGCATGTGAGGTTGAGGATAAGACAAGTTATTGCCTGGCTACTATTACTATCTCACCAAGTTTTATTTAAAATAAAATTTAATAATTTATTTTTCTAATTAATGTTTGCTAGATTCACTAAGAGATATTTTAAAAAAGTTTATACAAATTTGTTTATTTTTGGCACTCTTTTTTGATAGCAGTATTTATTTAAACATTTTTATTTCTTATTAAAAAAAAGGCTATGAGGAGGAGGAATTTGAAATGAGTTCTCAAGAAGAACTATATAAACTTTATCCGAAACAAAAAGAGTTGATCCAAAGGTTCTTCAGGACAACACCAATGATATTAGATAAATCAGAGAGTTTGCTAGATCCGGAAGAATTTAATGAACAAAATTGCCTGGAAATGCAGAATGGTGTCAAAGAAAAGGACGAAGACATTCTAACCATGCAAAACGTGGATTCTAATTATGATTCTCACGAATCAAGCCTATACAATGGAGAACCTAGATCAAATGGAATAAGTCACGTTGAAGATGACACGTCGCATATATCACTAAATGGAAAATTCAACGGTATATCACCTAAATGTTCTAATGATAAAGAAATCGATAGTAATGTTTTCCAATTCACAAGCCAACAAGAGGATGATGGAATAGAAGAGCTAGATGAACCATTAAAGAGTGAAGAAACATCTGATTCCCGTCTAACGAGATAACATAGACTTTGATAAGCCTAAATATGTTAAAGGGGTTAAAATGACTTCTCAGATTAACCGCTGATCTTAATAATATTATGAAGGGGTAGATTATACAATATGAATATAAACCTTACATGAAATATACATATTTACTTTCGTAATAAGTTATTAATTAAATTACTAATTAAACGTTAATAAATATATGTTAAACATTTTTATTTAATTATTATATGGTAGTAATATAAAATTTACACTTTTAACTAATTATTCAGATATATCCGCTTTGTCTGTAAATAAATATATAATCAAATTATATTAATCAAATAATACATTTTATTTTATTACACGAACTTTATGATTTATTTGTTGAAAAACTCGAAATTTTTTTAATATAACGCGCGTGACATTATTAGCCTTTAAAAGTTCTTAAATGTACCAAGGCCAAGGTTTTGTAAAAAATTATATTATATTTAGGCCCGATCCGGATCGGGATTGTTTTTTAAAATCGAATTATGTCCAAAATTTTACCCTAACTCTCTCAAAATTTTAGTTTTTTTAGAAAAATAAATTTTAAGAAATAAATTTTATTGTATTTAAATAAAAATAATTCATTTTCAAAATTTCATTATAAATTATGCATGATAAGTCGTTGTTATTTAGGATCACGCTATCTAGTGTCATGTGATGAAATGTCTGAATAATAATGTGTCGTGGTAGCCGTGATATTGGGTGTTAAAGTCCCTCATGTCCATGTTCAACTAATTTAGTTATCTCATTTAAATGGCTAATGTTAAAATATCTGTTTGGTGAAGTTGAACAGAATGGTTTTCTGCACTTCTATTTCTTGGAGAGATATTAAAACATATAGTTATATTATAATACAAATAAAATCGTTTTTTTTCGAGTGGCATCTATGGATCAGCCACAATATTGAGATTATTTTTAGCTTTAATTCGGGTTTAGAATCCGGGTAGAATGTGTTTTTTTTAAAATTAAGATGGATAGGCATCTCCGTGTTACGAGATATGATATATATTAGATCATAAGCGAGCGTGAGATTTGGGGTGAGTAATATAAATAATAAAAATTGGTATTATCGCTTTTTAATAAAATTTGGTTGTTGCTTATTTTACTATTTTACTTATACTTTATTAACCTATTAAAATAAACATTAATTATAAGATAATTTTGATTCAATAATGCCTTTAATACAATAAAACATCAACACTTCGTTCCTTTGTTTTGCAGCTAATATCTTGAATACTCTTCATACATTCTCCACAGTTATTCAAGCCCTACATTTCTAAAATACAATAACAACATAATCAAATCTCAAGAAGGAATTTAACAGGGAGACCCCTTAGGCACTGCCCTTTTTTTGTCTCGTCCACAATCCACAATTCTTCCATCCCTCCCATCATCGAGAATCTCTCACATATTATAGGACTGTCACTCAATCTCCCTAAATGTGAGATTTGCCTCCTAAATCCTACATCCATTCTTTTAGACACGACATATCACGTCATAAACAGAGAGATGACACATCTTGGATTACCGATAGAGGGTGAAAAGGCCAACTTTTTTAAACAAATTCTTTAACAATTTATCTAAATTAAACACATTATTTAATTATCTAATCGCCCATCAATTCTTTTTTTAATAAAAAAACTATTTCAATAGACCTAAAATCCTCTACGCCCTGAGATCCTCTTCGATCTTTAAAGCAGCGATGTGCTAATTTCCCATAAAACCCAAATCAAGGGCTACCTTGAAAATATATCAAACTTAAAATTTCCCAATTCATCTTGGCTTCAGGCCACCCTCCCCAGCAAGTCTGGTGGTATTGGTATCCGATCCCCGATACAGTTTTCTCTCTCAGCCTTTATCTCATCGCTTCTGGCTGTTCAATCTATTACTAACAATGAATCCACTCCTTTAGATCCTGACCTTTCCCAGGCCTCACCTTTTTGGATAGCAATTGCCCTTCCATTCTGCCTGCCTCCAGCATTCAAAAATATTGTGATGCTCCTCTTGCCTGTTCCGTTGAATACCTAATTTCGAATAGGCCCTTGAGGACAATTCCACTAACTTAGTATTATATGCAAACTCAGGCTATGAATGGTTGGGAGCCATCCCCATTTCCAATCTTGGCCTCCTCATGACTGGCGAACAGCTACGTATTTCGATAGCCCTTCGTCTTGGCTGTGATACTGTAGTTCCCTTCAATTGCAATGACAATGGCCAGCCCATTGAATTGAAAGCTTAATCCCATGGACGACAACCTCGTCATAAAACTATCAACAACATTCTCCTAGCTGCCCTTAAGAAGAGTTAATATTCCATCCACCCTCACACCAGTGGGCTTCTCATGCGAAAACGCCATACACCCCAATGGCATATCCCTCATTCCTTGGACTAAGGGTCGCCCGTTGCTTGGAACTATACCTGTGTCGATTTTGTAGCAAAGTTCAACCTCTCATTTTCTGCCTTCGAAAAGGCAGAAATCCTAAAAAAACGCCCTCACCAACACTATGTTTATACAAATCGTTACCAATACTAGGCATGTTTGGAAGTGAGGCTCTCAATTTCATTAAAATTATAGGAAAAAAATGAAACAGATCTCACAGTGAAGGATTTTACCTTCGTCAGCAGATTTCCGCCATTCCAATTTTTTAAGAATTACTCTTCTCTAGTGTGATATGTACTCTTTTTATTTTTTTCTTTTAATTCTTTTTTATGTTTTTCTTCATAAATTATATATATATTTTTTTAAATTAAATTTTTAATTTATCCTTATTTGTTTTTAAATATGTATTTTTAATTCAATAGTGTATATATAAATATACATATTTGATTTAACCCTTTAATACTCTAGTGAGGTCTATGGAACCCCAGGCATGCTAGAAATGATATTACAAAAAACGGTTAAATATTATGATCTGGATTCTTCAGTAGCTTCATCAAATATATCTTAGAATCTATATTCCAAATTTCATATATTTTGGTCGAGTAGTTTTTAAGATATAAGCATTTTGTGCTGATTGGGGTTTGTGAGACCCCACCAGAGTAAATTTGTAATTTTTTAAGAAATTTTTATTTTTTGAATTTTTAAAATTATAAATATATACTACTATATTATAAAATTATCATTTAAATATCTTATATTTTAAATGAGATATATGAAAAAGAAAACGTTAAGATTTTCTCTGGCGGAGTTATTTTATTTTTCACCAGCTGACTCATTTCTCAAATTATTTTTATCATTTATAATGATTTTTGCAGATTATGAAACTAAATATATAATTATTTAAGATGTAATATCATTTTATTTGAGGTGATTATGACAATATAATTAATAGAGAGGTTGAACATTTTATATAAGATAGTGATCATGATACACAATCTGAATTAGATGAAGAAGAAATGTTAGTTGGACAATAAACTTAATATCCTTTAGGTAAATATGAAATCATCCATCATAGTATATTTCTCTTTAAAATTAGCTAAAAAAATAAGTTTACTAAGTGGAAAAAGGATCTTCCTAATCAAAGAATAAGAACTCATCAACAAAATTTAGTTATTCATCTGCCAGAAGTAAAAGAATAAGGAAAAGGAGCTGACACTCCAGAAAAATGTTTTCTTTTTCATAACACTAAAAATGATTGAAGAGATTATTTATCATACCAATGATAAAATTAAAATTATATGTAATAACTATACTGACCAATATGAAAGTTCTACTAAAGAAGTTGATGTAACACAATTCAATACATTATTGGAAAATCTATATTTAGCTGGAATTTTTAAATCTAACCAACAAAATAAAAAAAACAAAATATTTTTTTTCAAATATTTAAAATAAATTTATGTTTAGAACACATTAATGTTTTATGTAATAAATGCTTTGCATGTCAAATTTAACATATTTCAATGTTCTATATTTCTTTTATGTTTGAATGTATTGGTGTAATTTTTTTTAATATTGAAGAATAAATCCTTATTATGAATTATCATGATTATATGATAGATAAGTTATTTTTTTAATTTAATATTTGAAAATTAAAAAAAGTAAGCTTTTTTTAGAAAATTTTGGCACAAATTATAATTATTCTCATCATCTTTAATCTAAGCTTAAGAAATAAAAATAAATAAATATTTTATCAAGTTTAAGGTTAGTTCTATCTTATATCCAAATATTAAATAAAAATAATGAATATAACTGGAGATATCATTTGAAATTGGGGTCTATTAAACCCCACCCGCGTCATTACCGGAGTATTGAAATCAATATTTAATAAATTTTTTCAAGAAAAAAATAAATAATTATATAATTCTAGTTTATATTTACACTATATTGTACTAGCAAATTTTATTAATAGTATATTGCTTAATTAAACTACCAGGTTAATATTAACAATGAAAGATAAATGGCATATAATACTTACCTGGCCTGACAATTCATTCATTGAAATACATTTTGAAGCGGCGTTGAATATAAGTTAGCTGGTAACACGATATTTTGGCTTCCAATTTAAATTACTCTATAAACAAATGAAACTGATATTTTTGAAGTTTTTATAGAATTTTAATACAATCTATTATGGAAAATTAAGCTTGTATGTAACTAGCTGATTTGATTTGTATTGCTATCCATCTAAATGAAGGAATAGTTAATATATAAAATTATATCTCATTGGGCCTAATATATAATAATAATCATTTTTTATTAATGTATTTGAAATTAAATTTTTTTAATTACTAATGGTTAATAATAAAAGAAAAAAAATACTAAGTACATACATGAAATAACTTTCGTAAATATAGACCAATTTCGAACTTGATTCCTATATAATTCTCAAAATAACCGTGAATCCCTCCAAATAAAATATATGGAAGAGATTAAAATTAATAATAAATCATGTGTAATCGATAAATATGGATAATATTCCCAATATAAAATAATATGATAAAGAATATAGCCAATAAATAAATGGATAATTAAACGAACTGTAATAATGTATGAATTCGAATACAAAGAATATATGTGATATTTTAGAAAATAAGTCTTGAGTTTTAAAGATATTCAAATTCTAAGAATATGAGAATTAATCTAGTTTTGACTTCCGTTTTATATATTTCATGATATTATTTAATTTTGAATTTATTTTCATTCCAATATCTTCAAGTAAACCTGACAACATATATAATATTTGAAAACATCTTATTAGAACTTTACTCATTTACAAATATATTTCAATATATTTCTTAATAGTAATAAGAATTTTATAATAGGATACATTTGATCCATTTTTGATTTTTGTGAGAATAGTACATATAAGAGAAAATTATATACTTAACATCCTTTATTTCGTAGTTTAGCACCATAAATGGGTTTAATTTTTAATTCTTTGTAATATAAAAATAACATCAAAATTTTCTAATTTTTTTGTATGTTAAAATTATATTGAATTTACCTTAGATAAATGTAATCTCAGTGGCGTAGGCATAGGGGGAGGGGGGGGTGAACCCCCCCCCCCCCCCC